GAGGGTAAGTATTAAACAAAGAAGTTCAATACGTGAACATTTTTCTTTTAGTCAATCTTAGGATGTTGGCAGGAAAGAAAATTCCAGGTATTTCTTCCTTTTTAGTCTATGGATATCGAGAGGTAAGCGTTAATGAAAGTTCTCTCCCGTACGCCAGTTTTGATCTTCTTGATCTTCTATGGGTGCCTTAATCGAACTTTTCTGCGTACCAAGGCCTCGCCAGTTAAGGGGGGGAGGNTGGGGTAGGTAGCTATTGCAACAAGAACCGTAATGATCGTGACAGAATGTGGTTGGCACATTATGCTCAAGTGTCACGCTCTTTTTGTGAGAGTGAAATCGTGACAATGTGACTGTGACATCATGTCTGACATTCGCGTTGTGACGGACAACAAAAGGCCCATCAATTTACAAAATTCAAATCATAATAATAGACAAAGTTTGATATAGACATTGTAATCCTCACCTGTGACTAACGTTGTCAATAACTTAATTTTTCCTGCGACGTTTTGATTGAAACATTGCCATTAATATTGCGACACTATGACACCATTTGCTAGCCTTTTTGGACAATTTACTTTCAAATTACTTTGCCGATTCATTCGTTGCTATTTCAACTGGATTTATCTCTCTCTCTCTCTCTCTCTCTCTCTCTCTCTACACACAGGGTATCCTAAGAGTGCGGAAGCGAGTCACTTTAATGGGGGTAATCGTTACTGCAATATTTGGAATCAGTTGGACGCTACTTCACATCCCTCAGTGTCAGTGAACTCGCATACACTGTTATTCATATGCTAATACTGTTCAGTTCCGCTGTCAACTCATTTGTGTACGCTCTGGTCAACAAAACCTTCCGAGAAAAGCTTAAGGCAACGATATGCTGTAGGTGTACCGGCTCCACGGGATCCACCCGAAATCGGGTTTTCCCACAAAAAGTCATCTCCACAGCAGGGATATCATCTTTGGAGTGATCGAAAAATCTAAAACATTTCTTCTTTGAATGCTTTGTTTGATGTTAAAAGGACATTGTGACAGGGAGAGATAAAGTTATGATAATGATTCTCTTCTATTTCTCCCAGCAGCTACAGAAAAAAAAAAAAGCTTTGTTTCGCAGGGTATGCAATTACGATAGTCTCAACTTTCATAACGCTGAGAGGAAAGGTCGTCGTAATGCTATGATTTAGCTAGACTCGCTCCCACTGTTTCAACTAGAATATTCAACAAGTAAATCAGTAAAGGTTTCTAATATTATGGTGTTTTCATTGCTACTGATCTATTTATACCTCAAAAGATGAAAATAAACTCTTTAGTTGAAGAGTAAGTGCAACTGTCCTTCAAAGTTAAATATAGGAAAGGATCTTATTTTTTAGCTGTAGGTGAGCAGCTTCTCTAAAAAGCCGCGGTGTGCCATGACAGGAGTTTTTATGTAACCCGAAAAACGGGAAGTAAAACTCTCTTGTAATCAACATATTTGTTGTGAAATTCCCATTGTGCGAACTTATTAAATTATTATTAGTAGTGCAATTGTTAAATAAAACAAGTAAAACATATGACAAGGCGATGGCATCATAGTGGCCGCCGTTAGGTCTTTAATTTTCAAACAGAACGGAACTACGCATTTCTGATTTTCAGTGAAGCAATCATGTGTTTTTTCTCGTGGATATGCGATGCGAGACGGGGTCCACTGGACAACAGATGCAGATGTATGGGATCAGGAGAAGGGCTGTGAGGTCGAGATTGATTTACATTCGGAACATATGCGACATATGCCAAGAAAGCAATAAAGAGAGACGGAAGAAGAAACATTTTCTCATTAATTATAACAGATTGTAAGTATTCCAAGCAGGGCAAAAACTGAGCCTGAAACAGAGTATTACCAGTCCATGAATTATTCCGGCAAAAAAATTAAGGTGCCCACAGTATAGCCCTTCACCGGCCATATGAATACCCTCACACGGGCCAGGTTCTCAGTTTGAGATGGCTGTTAACGCCGCGTCGCCATAGAGTGGACGTTAACCTGGATATATGGTACGATTTTATAGTTTTATTGCTTTATTACGAGCTTGACTGCAGGAATGGAAGATAACAGCAAACTAGATCATGAAACCACTGATGTAATAAATTGAAACGCAACCACTAGTGTAGTATATGTATTTATCACTGTTTTAATAAAAAAGCTAACTACTAATTACATAAAATTGTTAACCAGTTCTCACACTGAGTGCATATTAATAGCTACCGTCAAAATGAGAAAGAGAAGAAACCTTGACAACTCGATCAGATTCCTTCCTCTTGGTTTTCTAAGACTACAGACAATATTATCATTTTAAACATATGAACACTGCCCATTTGGCAGAAAAATGAAAAACAAGAAACGCACAGACCCACCAAAAAATAACAAAAAAAGGAACAACAAAAAGAAAAACCAAAACTGACAAAACTCCCTCAGCTAGCAATTTTAAACCAGCGCAGCATAAACTATCACTGGCTCAATTTATTTGGAATTTATTGTGTCCTCTGCTTAGAACATATAATAAGGAATATGATAATTATTGTTAGATATCTATGGTTTATTCAGAGCTGCTCTAGAATGCGATGATGTTAAAGAGTTTTATAATC